CCTTTTTCTTGCATTTACAATGTACTTTTTTTCAAAATCACTGGAGTGCGGTAGCATTAATTTTCTGGTATTTCTCAGCCTATTCACTTTTTCAAGGCAAATATTTGGACTAATTATCTTCAAGGGTGCACACTAGTCCTGGAGTCCCAGGGTGAGAGCAGAGGTAGACAGAGCATGGGAAGCCACCCCTGGCCTCCTGCTCTGGTAAGGACATCACAGTCCACCCTGCAGCAGCCTCCTCTGCTATTCACCATGTATCTCTCCAGAGTGTTTCTGGATGCCTACACAGGAGAGGGAACTACATCTGCTGGGATGACCCGTGACAGCCAACTACAAGTAAAACAAACCATGAAAATTTACCTCTTCAAGTTGAAGAAAGGTACTACATCCCTAGTGTAAACACATGGTGTAGTGTAAAGAAGAAATGATACTATTTTTGTAGTATTTGATAGTACAAAATTTGGTCACAGAAGAAAACAAACACTAAACATTGCTGTTTCTCTTTGAGTTGAATATTCTCTCTCTTCTAGGGACAACAATAGATGGAATAAGCACAGCCTGTGATATCACTAGGAAATGAGGGACCAGTTTGGTTCTCAAAGGCAACAAGACCCTTGAATTGTCCTGGTCAGCAAGGAAGACAGGGCCTTACTTATCTGGAAACTAGACACGCGATTTAACAATTTCACAAAGGAAGAGACGACTTCTTGAAATGCATGAAACACACTGACTGGTGTGAATTACCCACAATGAACAGGTCTGTTCTGTCCTTTGACCTGGATCTCTGCTTACAACTGCACAGAGGAATCTCTCTGGAGCCCGCAGAAGCCCCAAGCCTGTGTCAAACCCCCAAGTATCTAAGTCTCAAGACAATGAATCTCAGTGTCAAGGGAAAAAGAGCACTTCCAAGGAAAGGTCTAAAAGCATCTCTCTGTTTAACTTGGCTGCTAGACAAGACAAATGGCTTATCTGCAGCAGCACGGAAGCTCTTTTTCAGGAAAACCAGCAGCTGCTGCTGCCTCACACAGAGAAACCCTATGTGATAGTTTAAGCCTGGAAGAAAAGGGCCCTGTCTGATTAGAATCACAGGAAAGGGACTGTCCAGGGCCATGGGGACAGCATCGCACTGGAGAAGAGCCAACAGTGCCCAAGGCCCCTCCCACAACAGGAAGAAGGTGAGATCAGGTGAGGTGAGGCTTTGGTGAGCCAACCAGCCTGTGGCTGTAGAGGACTTGTTTTGTTACCTGCTGGGCCTATGAAGGCCGTGAGGACCAGGACAAGAAGACAGCTACAGATGCAAAGAGGAAGGAAGACCAGGCAAGCCCAAAGCTACTCAAAGCCTAATTCTCAGGGGAAAGCCCTGAACGGACTTGGATGCCCAGGATGGCCTGATGGAGTTCCGACAATATGCACTGCTCCGTACGTAAGGGGTTTTGCTTTTCTTGGTGTGTTACTGGAGGCTGAGCTCAAGCCGTAGTAATGCTAGGAAGCCTCTCTACCACTTGTCACATACCCAAACCTGGCTATGTGTTTTGCAAAAGTCTTAGAAATCTCAAGGCATTGAAGAGCATAACTGATATTCCAGCTGAAGGTGATCATCTTAGTGTAGCTTAGCAACCAAAACTGAAGGTGGGTCATCACACCTTCAACTAAAAGACAGGAAATCTGCCAAGGACTCATTTCTCTTTGCGCAAAAGTCTCTCTGTTGGCTGAAAGAGACACTTGTGTTAGTTAGGAAGGAAGGATGCTTTGGGGTCTTGACACTTTTCAACCAGTGGCAACACAGATAATTGGCATATTCTGGTAAAATACAGCCTCTTGAGTCACCACCAGACCCCAGGTGCACATCTAAGGCTGGCCTGGCATTCCTAACCATGACATCTGTGTAAGGCTCTTGGGAAACACAGTGCTCACTGTTCCTGGTAGACTACCAGAAAGACCCTTTCAGTCACTATTTCACTCCAGGTATATGTCTCAGGACTTCCAAATTTGCGTATTTATGGGACAGGACATGGACCACTGCAATAGTAACCTCAAAACTTGTTTCTAGACATAGACTGAGGGAACTGTTGAGCTCATCACAGCTAGGAAGCGGAGGGAGCAAGGACCCCCCACACACACACCCAACCCACCTCACAGTGACACTAGGGCTGCAACACATGAGGCTTGCGGACCAGTGTCAACAGCACTGCAGCCACAGTGTTGCTTCACCCCCAAACTATTCATCAACGCTGTGTGTGCTGAAGTATTTCTTCACACTCCCTTTTGTGTAGGACTCCAAGGGAATAGGGAATCAAGAGAATAGATTGTCTTGCAAGCAAGCAAAATTAAAATCTTGCTACCTTTTTCATCACTCTGTTGGCAGGTTATGAAACGCTCAGATAACTGTAGGATCTATTTCAGAAATCAGATCATACTCCCAGACCCGGGGCTTTAATAAAAGCATGACAAACACTCTACATGACACATGACATCTCCCTCACCACTGTCATGTGCAGTGCCATCTTTCAGCATCTCCAAAACCTGTGAGGGGCCCAAGTGACAGCAACCAAGGCTCTGATATTTAGCTAATTTTATCCAGTTGTCCCAGCCAGCAAATGGCCTCTATGAAAAGTGTTTTCTGGTCTTTCAGGCTGAGTGCTTGAAATCAGCCTACTTTTTTGAAACAAAGAAGGCCAACTGCACATGGCCTGCGCACCTCGGCACATTATATCGGGGAGTCCCGCATCCTACTGACCGCAAGCCACAGCAGAACAGGTTGTTCTGACAAACTTCAGCCCAGGCCCCCATGGCAGCCCCTCCAGAGCTCACATCGGTTTCCTTCCATCATGTCCTCTGTCTTCTGTTAGCTTTGCTGCTAGAGTTTAGGCTGCTGCCTGGTGGGTGACTTTGCTGCTCTCTCTGCTGTGTGAGACAAAAGCTTTCTGCACAGAACGAGCTCAGGTGTCCCCCACTGGACTCCACAGGCCAGGGTTATAGAGGCCCTTCGCTTCTCCACAGAGAAGATCCCATACTGAGCTGCTGTCAGGTGACCAGGGCAAGGACTCAGAAATCAAGGACAATCGTGAGTGCCCACAGCTCAGACTTAAGAACTACAGGTTGCAGTTCACAGCATCCGCTCAGTGCAGGAGGACACTTGCTCCGGCTGGTTTTCCTGCAAGCAGCTGGTATGATTTCATGTCCTAGAGTCCAAGACTTGGGCATGGCCCTCAACCTCATTTACGCCAATGGAGAAAGACTCAGGAGTTGGGGAAAGTTGAGTGCCGCTCCTGCATCCACCCCACTGTCAGAGCGCAGCAGGGCCATGAGGCGTGACTACCAATTCCCAGTGGAGACGTCCTTGGAGGCCTTTGCCTGGTTTTCCTTCCATGGGTGCCAACAAGGGCATTTCCCAAGACTGGGTCTTGCACAGCTTTCAGAGGTCCTTATACAAAGCTCTTCTCCCCGTGTAACTAATATTTCTTGCAATGGCAGGATTGGCTGGAGCCTGCAGCTGAAGACTGACAGGAGACTAAATTGCTGAAGACATTTAATTCCCAAGTGGCCTGCCAAACACAGCCATTGAGCCATGAGAGGATTGTGGAGGGAAAAGTGTCACAGTAAGAAGCTGCACACAATGGCTGACTCATGTCCCTGCTGGCCCATTGCTTCTGGACTAATGAAGGGTGCTGCTTGTGATAATGGTGATGGTGGGGAACAGAGTAGGACCTCAGCTGCCCTGGGGTCAATGGCATCCAGCAGGGTCAGTTCCCATCATCTGGGGCTGAGATCCCTGGCTGATGAGTCCTCAGAGTAGCAGAGCATGTGTGTGTGTGTGTGTGTGTGTGTGTGTGTGTGTGTGTGTGGTGAGAAGAATCTGGGTGTGAGAATGTGTTGTACAGTATGTGTGAAATGTGTTTGTGAGTGTATGGGTGTGTGAGTACACCACAAGTTCAGAGCATGTGGGTGTGTAGGAGAGTGAGTGCATCTGTGAACATGGAGGTGCGTGCTCCCAGTGGGTGTGGAGGTGTGAGAGCACGGCTGAGTGAATATGCTTGCCTGTGCGAGTGTGTTCTTGCAACTGTGTGTGCGTGCACAGCGACTCTGTTGCTGAGAGTGGGAGTCGGAGAAGTGGCAGCAAGGAGGGAGATGAAGTGAGCCCCTCAGCACCTTCCAAGGGAAACACGGACCCTGCGCTTTGCCCACCTGTGTGTGTGCCTAGCTGCACCTTCACAGCTGAACCTACACTGCGCCAGGAGGCTGCAGACTCGCTGGGGCAGCCCTGAGGAGCGGAAAGAGCCATCTTAATCACTTTGCTGTTGTTGGGCTCACTTTGACAGCATGTATACTAAAATAGGAATGATAGAGATAAGATTAGCACGGCCCAGTGCAAGGATGACACTTAGGTACTGTTGAGACAAATTCTCAATCCCCACAACTGGAAGAGAGGTTTTCCGCTGCACCTGGTTTCAAGCAATCGTCAGCTGGTTCCCAGCAGGAGCAGCCAGCAGAAGAAATGGTGCTTAACCCAGAAAACAGAAGTTAGGAGCCCTGGACGGAGAGCCACCCTTCCGGGCCGTGCCTTAGGGACCCCACCTGTTAACAGCAGCTCTAAACACATGGACAGAGGAAGAGTCCGCTAGTGAGCACAGCTCCCCCAGGATGGATCAGCTTCCAGAAGTGTCACTTCTGAGCACAGAACACCGAAGGACATTTCAGATTGAAACCTTCAGGCCTTGTTCTCTGGCCCTGCAGGGCTGCTCTGCCTGCAGCTGCTTCCAGCTGCTTCTCTGCCTGAGGTCCCTTGCAAAAGGAAAGGCAGCTGGAGTCATCCTGCCCATCTTCTCTCCTTGCTCACTCTCAGCCCGCCCCATTGGCCCTCCATACTCAGACAGGATGCTGAGTTCTTCACGCTGATAACTTTCAATCAATGATTTGGAAACAGCTAATCATGTCAGACTTTGCTTCCACAAGTCTGTTCAAACAACTTCCACAGTGATTTGGCCTGAAGGAACACAAGGCCTCTTCCCACTCTGCCTGCACTCCGCCCAGTGGAGCTGCCCACAGTTGGGCACAAGGAGCCGGGAATCCCAGCTGCAGCACCTTGTCCTCACAGGAAGCTCACCCTCCTTCCTGGGACCCCTCCTTCACAGGAGGCACAGAGGACCTGCATGGAGCAGCGGGCACCAGCCACCACAGTGGCCTCTTCTGACAAATCTCCCTGAGAAACGAGCAGCGCCAGCCACCAGACCCCAGGCAGCATCTCTCGACCCAGGACTTCTTCTAGAGAAAGAAAACACATTCACTGAGCGGAAGCCGGCAGCAAATGTGGTAAGAAGACCAAAGCCCCGTCCTAGGGAGAATTTCAGGCAGGAAGCCACAACTCCCAAGTTTCATGTTCAGCCGTCCAACTTGGAACTCTCAAGCTTCACACTGTTGAAGTCTCCACACTCTTACTGTTCTTCTTGTGAGATATCTGCTTTATTCTCAGAGTATCACAGTTGGAAAGCTTGATCCCTGAAGACTCAACCACAACCACGTCAGGCAGTGATGCTGAGCTCTAGCTTGGCCCAGAGACAGAGGCCACTGGCAGCTACTCCATCTCTAGCCCTGGCCTCTGTCTTCAGTCCATCCTGCAGCTCTGTGCAGTGACTACTACTACCCTCGTGCTGGGAGATGACCTACAAGGAGAAGAACCAGAACTGAGATAAGACAAGTTGTCACTCCTAAAGGGTAACCACACCATATCACATCATTGCCTTTCCTTGTCGAAGA